TTAATAATACATTAATAATAATAATTATTAATAATTTAATAATACATTAATAATTAATAATAATAAATAGTTTAATAATTATTTTTATCTCCTAGTTGTTGTCGTGTTTGCTGACAAACAAACAGCAAGAAATATAATGACGGCAGCAAGTCGTTTAGGAGTTACCAATCGGTTTGTCTGGATCGGAAGCGACGCTTGGAGTGGTCGAAACAGCGTTGTCGAAAAGAATGAAGAAGTTGTAGAAGGATCAATCACCATTTCTCCATTAGTAAGGTCAATAAGAGGTTTTGACCAATACTTTACAACTTTAACTCCGGAGAACAATAAGAAAAATCCCTGGTTCGTGGAATTCTGGGAGGAATATTTCAAATGTCATCGTCAGGAGCTACAAGGAAGGCTGAAGTATCCTCATTGGTGCCCTACTAACAAGAGGATATCTTCGAGTAACGGCTACACTCAGACTCCTTCTTTGCATTTTGTCCGGGATGCTGCCTATGCCTTTGCCCATGCGTTGCACGATATGCACCAGAACGTCTGTGATGGAAAAGAAGGTCTTTGTGAAAGAATGAGGCGAATAGACGGTCCTACGTTTAAGGGATACTTGCAAAAAATAACATTCATAGGTAATGTTCGTCGAATCCTGTTCTTACAAAATAAATGTTTGTTGTTTTTTAACCAAGTTTGGAATATTCACTTAGCAAAAGCTGTTTATTTCAAAATTTGGCGAAACTGTCCATATTTTTGGGCTGATAGACTAGATGAAAGGCAGCTATTCAACAGCGCCTACCGCCAATTCTTAAGCTACTCTTGTCTGTTTGAATAATGAGACTTGACTGCGACTCTTTTAATCCACCCATTGCCATCAAAGTTTGATGCGTGTTTTTGTAGCAACGTGTCGCGAAGCATAAACCCACGGATTCACAGTCCCGGCACGCTAGCCACTAGACCACGCCCGGTCCGGCTGTTCAACTGCCCCAAGATTTTATCATTCATACAGAATTAATTAGTTTTATGTTGATTATGAATAGCTTTATAACGCAAACAGGTTATGTTTTAGTTTTACGGTCTGAAACTAGAAATGCAAACTAGTTTAGTAAAAAATGTTCAGAATTATTAGCCTTCAGTATTGATATGTATGTATTTTTGTAAGTATGGATGAATCTATATATATTACACTAAGTTAATCACTATAATATAGAGACTATAAGTATGTACGTATGGATGAATCTATGTATATTACAATAAGTTAATCACTATAGTATAGAGACTGTAAGTATGTAAGTATGGATGAATCTATGTATATTACAATAAGTTAATCACTACAGTATAGAGACTATAAGTATGTAAGTATGGATGAATCTATGTATATTACACTAAGTTAATCACTATAGTATAGAGACTAATCATTATAGATGACATAAGATGACTTATTTCCACAATATGGTTTACAATACAAATACCTATTACAATGCACTGAATGAACAATTGGGTGCTCTCGCTATTATTCATGTTCTAACTGTATAGTACCTCAAAAACCCACACCTTCAGAACGACCAACTTATGTACATCATAACATGTCGTAACCCTGAAAACTATAAGCCTAACCCTGATGTCTTATGACAATTATTGGTATAGTTATTATATATTATCTAACTACTGGCTCAACAAAAGTTACTTTGAGATTTACTAAAAACACAACATAGTAGCTAACAATATATATATGTATATTCATTAGAGTTGGTTATTATTCTGCCACTAGAATGCGTTATAGTAAGAATTAATAAATAATTAAGATTCCAGAAATTCTCAAAATCTGTAAGTTTATGTGATACATAACTTCCACTTATTTTTATTTACTTGTTTATATTACCAGGTCCCTTGAAACATCAGAAATAGAAACCAGTTGCTCTAGTAAATCAATCTTATCTGAAAACGAAGATATATATATATATATATGCCATTTGTGAACAAAGATCTATATATGTCATATCTAAATAAAGGTCTATATATATATCATTTCTAAACAAAGATCTATATATATATATGTTATTTGTGAACAAAAATCTATACATATGGCGTTTCTTTGTCATAACATATTCAACCTAATATCAGCTACTAATATTTTTGTCTCATGTGCGTGTAGATGAAAATGGCAAACCGTTTCGATTTCTGCCTAGCGGCGACGCTCCTCCGAGATATAGCATAATCAACTTCCAGCAACGGTCCGGAAACTATACCTGGCGAAACGTCGGTCATTATATTCGTAAGTATTACCTCGTAATGATTCATTAAACCACAATAACTTGGTATACAAACGGAGTGAGAGAAATATACTTTACTTTATCTATTGCCTGATAATGACGTCTGAGAATTAAGAACTGTGTTATTAATTACAAATATTATATTAATATTGACTTTAAAAAGTAAAAGAAAATCATTAAATCATGCCTGTTTTTCGTTTCTTATGCTATCTTATTGTAAAGTCAATTGTTTAACGCTCATATTTAATATAAACAGTTCTGAAAAGGTGTTAAAAAATCATACATTTAGTTTCCAAAGACAGTTTTCTTCGTGTTATTTTGGGTTTATTTGTTTGAAGCCACTACATAAGCATACATTAGGTTGGTTTTGGTTTTAGTTTTAGTTCTACATAGCAGAAATGTATAAAAATAGTGTAATGGAACTTAAAATCTGGAAGTGTGTATTGGGAAGCTGACAGTAATTTCGGAAAGAAGAGGAATAAGCTATGACCTTTGGTATTACTCTATAATTTCTATGATTGCTTACCCTAAATTAATGTGTACTTTTTGCTATCCAAAATTAACTTAAAGTTATTACTGACTGCTACTTACTGATGTCACCTCTTGTTAAGAGATGGGTAGTAAGTAGATGAGAGTATGACGTCAGCCCCTCCCTCAAACTTAGCTCTTTTTCTAGCACAAAAGTTGTTTTTACAAAACAAACAAACAAGTACTCGCAATATTAAGTTCTTATGAGTTGGGCGTGGCTAGAAGGTTAGGGTTTCGGGCTGCGTCTCATTTTTTTAATCTTAATTTTGAAATGAAACTAGAAATAAAAGACTTTCTGGAACCCTGCGAAAGTACATCTAGTTTTAATTTTACTGTTTAACCCTAAATTAACTCTGAAGCCAAAAGTTTGGTTTGACTGTTGTTAAGCAGAAAGCTACACAATGTACTATCTGTGTTCTGCTTTAACCCTAAATTAACTCTGAAGCCAAAAGTTTGGTTTGACTGTTGTTAAGCAGAAAGCTACACAATGTGCTATCTGTGTTCTGCTCACAACGAGTATCAAAACCTGAATTTTAGCGTCGTAAGCCGAGGGAGTAATATAATGCCAGAAATCAAATTAAAAAAGAAAAACTTTATTTGTGAGAGGCGCTCAATAGAATAATATTAAGTTAAAGCTGTTACAGAAGTAAGTTCCAAGATTATCCGTACTCAATAAGTCAATAGTATTTACAATTACCTAAATCTAGTTGCTTAGTCCGGACAACTCGATAGAGCGCCTATATTTTCTAACAAGATAACCCAGGATCGAACCACATACTGCCCTTCTCAGGAATTTCCAGAAGGTTGACAGCCGCAACGTAGGGTATAAATTAATTAGTAATTAAAAAAGTATTTATTATATTAAGTTGATCGTATAGGTTACTAGCCAGGACAAAGATTGCCAATTCTCACAATCTTACCGTAACTACTCAATTTTTTTCTATTGCTGAACAATTGAATGAATTATGCAAGTAATTACACGTACACATTAACTCGATCATATATTTTAAACTTGCAAGGTTATCCTAACAAAATAGAATAATGTATTTGTTGGGATGTTTAACTCTTTAACTCTTAACTCTTTCCCCCACAATATCTGCGCTATTGTAAACAAAACGTTCAAATACATGACCTTAGAAGAGTGAAATGAGATTTTCACAGAAGTTGAGATTAACTCATACTTTTTACTTGTAATTTAATCTTCTAGAACTAATCATAATCACTTCATTCTTTCTGTTCATATTATCGCTACTTTTCTTGCCTATGCCTACTAATCCAAACAATTTTCATTGACGAAGCGTTAATTTCTGCGTCCTAAAGTAGGCGAAGACGGTGAAGTTGATCTCGAGCTTCACGAAGATGAATTGAAGTTCAAACAACACCATCCAGGCTTTCCACAGTCCTTCTGCAGTGAGCCTTGCCGCCAGGGACAAAAGAAGTTGCAGAGAGAGGGAGACACCTGTTGTTGGTTATGCACAAATTGTTCCGAATACCAGTATCTTGAGGATGAATATACCTGTCGGAATTGTCCTTGGGGAACATTGCCTAACGACAAAAAACCGAGTGCATAGACATCCAAGAAGAGTTTTTATACTTTACGAACCCTTGGGCAATTGGAACAATGGGTTTTGCTGGCCTTGGCATTCTTTTAAGTGTATTCATGGCTTTGGTGTTCTGGGCTTATGGTGATACACCAATTATTAAAGCTGCTGGTCGAGAACTCAGCTACCTTTTGCTGTTTGGTATCTTCCTTTCTTACACCATGACTTTTGTTATTGTGGCTAAACCAACGCCCTGGACCTGTGGTCTCACGCGCTTCTTCTTGGGGTTCTGTTACACACTTTGCTACGCCTCTATTGTGACAAAGACTAACCGAATTGCTCGGATATTTACTCAACGTAGACAAAAACCGTGTCGAAAACCTCGCTACACCAGTCCACGTTCTCAGCTAGTCATCACCGCCATTTTGGTTTCTATTGAAGTTATCATTACTACCCTTTGGCTGCTATACGATCGACCAACAGTAAGTCATATCCATCCAACTCGCCAAGAAAACATCCTCATCTGCCGTGGTTCTGACAAGGCCTCTTATCTAATTGGTCTCATTTATCCCTTTGTACTCATCGGTTTCTGTACCGTCTACGCTTTCAAAACCAGAAAATGCCCAGATGGATTCAACGAAGCCCGTTATTTGACGTTTACGAACTATACTACCTGTGTTATCTGGCTGGCGTTCTTGCCACTGTTCGTTCTTAGCACCAGCACTACCATCAGGGCAGTCACTCTCAGCTTCTTGTTCAGTTTGAGCGGTAGCGTCCAGCTGGCTTGCCTCTTTGCTCCCAAGGTTTACATTGCTCTGCTGAAGCCGGAGAAGAACACCAAAGAAAACGTCATGTATCATCACAACAGAACAACTAGCCTCGGTCAAAGTTCATCATTTGGGCCATCCACACCAACGCTCTTTGATAATGGTGGTAAGGACTCACTTTTCTATAGTTAATCTTCATCTTTTATGTGTATTACTTGCCAGTAATTCCATTTCATTGATCCTGTTTTCAATTTTCAAAAATTGGTTCTTTTTTAAAACAAACACACTCTTTTCATGTATACTAAGTTCTTCCTAAAGTTAATTTTTTACTGACAATTGTTTGATTTTATGATTCATCTGTTCAGTTTGAATTCTTTTCTTTTTCACCAAAGTAATTTTAATTTAATGGATTGAAAGCGGATCATGACGATTATTTGTAACAAAAATAGTTCAATGAATATTTTCATAATCTCTCTCTCTCTAACTATATATTTAACGTATTTAAGTAATTATCCCAAAAAACTTACTTTGAGTTGCAATAAAAAAAGGCTGTTGTATTTCTATTGAAGACAAACTGTTGTTTCTGTTTACTTTAATCAAGTTTGCCGTCTTGTAAGTTTAAACAATGAACTGTTTATGTTCTAGCTGTAAGAAGATACCCATCAAGTAATTAATTGTTTAAAATGGATAACTCCTGATGTTTTTGATAGGATAAGTATGGATAACTCCTGATGTTTTTGATAGGATAAGTATGGATAACTCCTGATGTTTTTGATAGGATAAGTATGGATAACTCCTGATGTTTTTGATCTTAACATGCATTAGAGCGTAAAATAATAGACTGGACGACAGAATATTTGAAAATGGAAAGTCAAAATAAAATGTACATTCCGACTGACAAGAGGAATGAGTCAGAGTAACTTCTGTAGACGAAATATTGATGTTACACTGGAGGGTGACATTTTGTTGACACAGAAACTATGTTTTCGCCGAAGTTGGTCAGCAAAACGCTATGAACATGTTTTCGCTGGAATTTCCTTATTCCTCGTTGTTTACATTTGAATGATTCATCTGTGCATTTGATGAAGGCAGGGAAAAGTTTTGAAAAATATTTAGGGTGACCAGATTTCCAAACTGAAAAAAACCGGGACATCCCAGCCCTCGCCTCTAGTTTCAAAATTGTTATTATACATTTGAAATAATTTAACTTTTATATAATTTTATTTCAATTTATTAAACTGTTCCACGATATTTCCAAATAATTGGCATTTTTTTATTATCAAATAGTCATAAAATTCAATACACGACTGTGTAAAGTGTGTTTGGACGATGGGCACTGCCTTAACTGTCTTCACATTCAGACCTGCGCAGATCTGGGTTTCTTACCACGCACAAACATAACTTTCGTGAGAGTTTGACAGTAGGAGAGTCGGTGTTATAACAACGAGTAAGTCAAGTAGGCCTCTTACGTACGCGATTTGATGTGACTGACATCTTGATGTTTTTATCGTCAAACCGGGACGTTTTGTGCGTCCAGAGAAATATTTTAGGGACACTGGGACAAACTACCAAAAAACGGGACGTCTGGTCACCCTAGAAATATTGGCTAATGTGGCAGTAAATTTTCTGTTGCCCATTGCCATGTTGAAAACGGGCTTGTCCCGACTAGCAACAGTAACCATGGGGTGCTTTATCGGGCGGAGAGAAAGCGAAATAGTCGAGAGGTCATTTGATATATTTAAATATCGATTACAGGCTTTACGTTTTTGTGACTCAAATTAAAACTCCTCCTCGAATTACGATGGCTCAGTTCGAGGACTTATAACGCTAGAATTCGGGTTTATTCCCGTGGACACAGCGCAGTTGGCCCATTGTAGTTGGTTTGCAGTTAAGCGCAAAGCTCCACAACGGGTTATCTGTGCTGTATCCACCACGAATATCGAAACTCGCTTTTAAGCGTTATAAGCTTCCGCTGAACCATTTAGAGGTGGGGAACCGAAACATTGTGAAAATCCACCCTAAAACAAGAAAGAAGAAACTCACAAAGCATCCAGGAACTGAAAAAACAGCGACATAATTGTCCTGTGAAATTATTTGATTAACCAACAAGAAAGTTACTTCTAACAAACAGTTGTTGAACATGGAGTTAATAATATGTCTTTAAACTAAAATTCTCATTATCTCAATAAAATACTAAACAGTCACTTGTACGGATAATATCCGACATCTCGTTCTAACAAGGTCGATAATATTCTGTTAAACAACAGTTAACGCAGATTGGATACAGAGGGACATCAAGAAACCGGAAATTATCCGCAAAGATGAATCTAATCAGCAAATAAAAACCGTAAATTACTTGTGCTTCGTCAGGTTTTTCTTATGTTTAATTTTCTACATATTAACTAGTTATATATATACACGGCCATTAATTTATTCTCGTACTCAACGTGTTTCCTAAAATAGGATTAAACACGGTTCTGTTTAGAGACACATAAGTAATGAAATTACTGAATAATAATTGGAACAAGAAACACATCTCATGAAAATGTCACGTCTTTAAACTGAAATTCTCATTATTTCAATAAAATGTTGATTCAGTTGATATATTACTTAACATTTTCTGACTTGCTAGCCTGTATTTTTTTTCATAGCTGAAGATAATGATATTATCCAAGGCACCTGATGTTTTTGATAGGATAAGTACGGATAACTCCTGATGTTTTTGAGGATAACTCCTGATGTTTTTGATAGGATAAGTACGGATAACTCCAACATAATGTTGGAAAACACACATCTATGTGTTCATAGTTATTAATATTTGTTAATTTATTTTAGATGAATTACAGTTTAAGGACATTTGTACACACCTGTTTAATTTTTCCTGTGGCCGCGTTTTTCTAACAAGGCGTTCAGAGGTCACACAGGCGAGGTCATTTTTTTTTACATAACAATCCGTATCTATCCACAAGTTACTGATCCGTGTCAATGTTTTTATTTATACAAACACACAGGTATTTTCTTTGTTTCTGTGTGTCACTGTTTACAACATTTAAGAAATAATGCCATGCTAGTAACATATTGTTTGTTTTAATCTAACACCACTAAAAACAATTTGGATTTGCCTCTCTGAAATTTAAATCCCAGATACCTAAATTCCTATTCATGGTTTCCAGCTAAATGATATACCTCCCCTCACCCCTCCACACACACACATTCAAGTGAAGTCTTCCAGCTGGAAGATTTTCGTATATAATTGTTTAATTAGTGTAAGAAATTATATAATTAATTACATCAAAAAGACTTAAAGCTTTTCTTTATTACAATATTTTACAACTTTTAAACCATAATCTAAATACTCTGTGTTTCCAGAACCAGAGGAGCCTCCCCCTCAAAAAAAAAAAAAAGAAAAAAAAGGAGTCTCTCCTGAGAACCACAATAGTCTCCCTTCTTTATTTACATTTTAATTCATTTTTTTTGTTTTCAGAATCTTGGCTTCGTGTGTGTTCTGTTTCTTTTGTTTTGTTTTATTAACACAAAACTTTTTTTTATGGAACCTGCTAATGTTATTGACAAATTTATAGATGTCATTTTCACGCCCAGTTTTGGAGAGGTTAAAATTAATGAATTTTTGTTTATTTTAAACACTAGTGTTGTCATAGTTTCACGGAACACATACTTTTTATAAAATTATTTCCCTCCATAAGGATATGGTAGGATAAGTATGGATAACTCCTGATGTTTTTGATAGGATAAGTATGAATAACTCCTGATGTTTTTGATAGGATAAGTACGGATAACACCTGATGATTTTGATAGGATAAGTATCTCATGAGGTCGCCTATGTGTGTTTATAACATTATGTTGGTCATGAGGTCGCCTATGTGTGTTTATAACATTATGTTGGTCATGAGGTTGCCTATGTGTGTTTTCATGTGTGTTATATCGGTTATAATGTAAAGTTAATTAAGGATGATGTGATTGCCCAAATAAACAATTGTTTGTTTGTTTTATTGAATTACGGGCAAAGCTACACCATGGCTGTCTGCACTTGTCGTCCCTAATTTTGAAGTCACAGACTACAGAGAAGGTAAACAGTCAACATTACCCACCGTCAACTTTTGTACGACCGAATAATAGCATTTGACCGCCACTCTTCTAATACACGGTATAACGGGACGCGAACCACGGAACGCCAGATCCAAGCCAGGCACGCTAAACACTCGGCTCTATATCCAATGATGTTCCGCCTTGTTGTACATATAAGTTAGTCTCGTTTTGGTGTGGAATTATATTAACTCTGATCGGTCAAATAGCTGTCATACATTAGATAGCATTAAAAGCAACTTGTATTCCATAACAAACTGGAATTGAAATTATGCTTATACCAGGCCCATGGAATAGTAGCGAACGTTTCGGGCTGCAGATTGATATGTCCAAGGTTCGAGTGGCGACATGCCGCTAAACACGCTACGCACTTTCAACTGTGGGCACTTTTATGGCTTAACTTCCGTTATTCGGTTAAAAGTAAGCGTACAGGCGGCGGGCGCTGCTGACTGATTTCAGTTTTTCTGGTTAGCAGTTCTAAATCAAAAACATCTATGGCAAAACTTGGGGTCCTTGACCCGTTCGTTCAGCCTATGTGATGCATGAGGTGGCAACTGATCGAGTTTGTATGTTTTTTAAGCGCAAAGATACACAGTAGGCTATGTGCATTGTGTCCACCGCGGGGAAATTGAACCCCGTATTTTAGCGCTGGCCCGGCATGACCAGGTGGTTAGGGCGCTCGACTCGCAATCTGAGGGTTGCGGGTTCGAGTCCCCGTCACACCAAACATGCTCGCCCTTTCAGCCGTGGGGGCATTATAATGTTACGGTCACTCCCACTATTCGTTAATAAAAAAGAATAACCAAAGAGTTGGCGGTGGGCGGTATTGACTAACTGACTTTCCTCTAGTCTTTCACTGCTAAATTAGGGACGACTAGCGCAGATAGCCCTCGTGTAGCTTTGCGCGAAATTCAAAACAAACAATTTTAGCGTTATAAGCCCTTAAGCTACCTCTGAGCTACTATATGCTTTATAATCTGTGTTTCGGTCTTTATTTCTGTGATATACTACTATATTCTTTATAATCGGTGTTTCGGTTTTTATTTCTGTGACATACTACTATATGCTTTATAATCTGTGTTTCGGTTTTTATTTCTGTGATATACTACTATATGCTTTATAATCTGTGTTTCGGTTTTTATTTCTGTGACATACTACTATATGCTTTATAATCTGCATTTCGGTTTTTATTTCTGTGATATACTACTATATTCTTTATAATCTGTGTTTCGGTTTTTATTTTTCATTTTCAGAATTTCCGGGAATTTTTCGATATTTAATTTTACAAATTAAAATTTTTATTTTAGAAGGGAAAATTGGTGGGTGAGGAACAGTAGAGTTACCCTTGAAAAAAAACAATCGTTATTACTATTTGTCAGTCTTGCAAGAGCCCTTGTATTTTGTTTTTAAGGCAAAGCTCCTAAAACTATCGTCCGTCGTCCCTAATTTTGAGCTACTGACGAAAGGGAAAGTAGCCAATCAGCAGCGCCCTACCACTCGCCATCCACGCTAAAAGACTGACTGTCACTCTTAAAATATCCACAGCTTAAAGTGTGGGTAATATTTTGTGGAATGGCATGGATTCTAAACCGACTCTCCAACCCGCGCTCCAGAACAAGCAGAAGAGGGCGCTCTTCCTTTTCAATTAAAACAACTAACTTTCATTGAGTTACCAGTGGTCTTAGCGACAGGAAGACCAAGATTCGGTAACTCCAAGCCCCTGTATTTAAATCGATCAAATCTGGCAATTAGATTTTTCAAACAGCGGGAAATAATCGTTATAAATTGGTAAATGGAAAATGTAATTCAATAATGCAGATGAGATGGTTTTTGTCATAAATTAACGTTTGTTGTTTTTTGTAACAAATCATGAAAAATAAGGCAGTTGTGAGTTTTCTTCTGGGAAAGCCGAGTTTGTTTTCACAAACTTTAATTTCCGTCTTTCTTGTTTATTCAAACTTTGACAGACCTAAGGCTTCAGAATCACGTAACGTTAACCGTTTGAGAGAGTGTAAACACTCGAAGGTCACGTAAACACCAGGTCACATTGATTTCTAACGAGACTCAAACTGATCATTGTTGAAGAAAATCCTTACATGGAAGTGGTGTTCTTAAAGACGTGAAGCGAAAATTACTTAATTTGAAACGGGGATAGAACTTCTGTTAAACTTGTGATATTTATACAAACTGTAACGCCAATATATCAATACAGATCTCTCTAATACCGTGATATCAACACAAACCGCCTGTAACACCAATATATCAATACAGATCCTCTATGACATCATAATATCAATACGGATCCCTCTAGTACCGTGATATCAACACAAACCGCCTGTAACACCAATATATCAACACAAACCGCCTGTAACACCAATATATCAATACAGATCCTCTATGACATCATAATATCAATACGGATCCCTCTAGTACCGTGATATCAACACAAACCGCCTGTAACACCCATATATCAACACAAACCGCCTGTAACACCAATATATCAATACAGATCCTCTATGACATC